TATATATACATACATACATACATATATATATATATAATTTCTATATTTTTGGACCAGGGATTGAACTCAGGACTTTGTGCTTGCGAGAACCACTGAGCTAAATCCCTGGCTTTAGCTGGTTATATTTTTAAACCCTTGTTGCATTGGCTTGTTTATGCCACTGGAGAATTTACCCTTGCTTTTAAGAAGTAGGGGAAGGGTACAGTAACAGCAGGGCTATACGTGAAGTGTGTGGGGAGTTATATGCCAGTTTGTTACCATTTGTTACCTGACAGGTTTTATGCCTGTTTCTTCAGCTTACTTGATTTTGGTGCATCTGTGGTGCATGGCACCATACACACCATCACCTTCCTCTCTCGGCACGGGCATGCCTCTGCTTTTCTGCTTCAGCATTCTGAAATTTTGGAACGTAGCTCAGTTAGTACGAAGTGTAAGCTGCAAGGATGAAGGAGCTAATGTTCACTCTAGGCAGCACTCAGCCATGCCGATGGGAGTCAGTGGCTAGGCACTCATGGGAGTCAGTGGCTAGGCGCTCTCTCTTTTTGTGTTGCTGGGGATAAAACCCAGGGCCTTGCACATACTGGGCAAGTGCTGTACCATTGAGCCAGACCCAGTTCAGTGCCCTCCTTTTGAAAGGAGGCATCTGACAGGCATTTTGTTTAGTTCCTCTGAGGGTCCTCAACGGCCGGGGGTTTAGCTCAGTGGCTCTGCCACCTGCCTCTGAGGGTCCTTGGTGGGAATGAACCCTGGTTGGCCTCCTGCTTTAAAAAAATTTTCCCTTTTCACCCTTGTGTCTCTCACTCTGCTTTCTGTAATCCCATTTCATATAAACTAAATATACCCAGATTTGTGTGTCAAAATCTGCTCTTAGGGGATCCCAAACTAAGATCACATACTATTTCCCAAAAGGTGGGTAAAGCAAGAAACTGAGATTTCCAAAGAATCTCAGGAAATGGACAGTCGTCCCAAGTTGGATCTAGGCTTCAAGGAAGGACAGACCATCAAGTTGAGTATTGGGGTAAGTATAGTTTTTTAAAATTTTATTTTCTTGTTCTTTGCCCTTTTTTTTTGGTCTGGTGCTAGGGCTGTAACCAGGGCCCCATGTATATGCTAGACAAGCGTCTGCCCCTGAGCTGCGTCCCCTGTCCTTTTCTGTGACATCTTTCCTTTTCTTTCATGCTGTTTTTTCTTTAATAGAACATTACAACCAAGAAAGGTGGTGCTTCTAAGCCCAGGACTGCAGGAACTGGGGGTCTAAGCTTACTTCCCCCACCTCCCGGAGGCAAAGTCACTGTTCCCCCACCATCCTCAGTAGCTATCAGCAATCACGTCACCCCGCCACCCATTCCCAAGTCTAACCACGGAGGCAGTGATGCAGGTACATCTGGCATTTCTGACTTTGAAAACTCGAATCCCATGTTTAATTGGGTAACACCTGTTTGCCAAGGAGGGTACTGATGTTTTTATTAGGAGATGGCTCTGGGTGCTGACAACGTGATTCTGGCAAGGGATCAGAGTTTTCTTGGTGAACAAAGTCATGGTTCCTATTACATTCTTTGGCAGATAATATATTGTTATTAAAAAGATCATTCCCTTCATTGTTTATTAGTTAGATGCTAATAGGCACATGAGTCAGATGGATGAAGATTGTGGTTATGGCAATAGGCATTATATCTGAATCCATTGGTAAATATTACTTCTGTTCTTTGTCTCTGTTTTCTTATCTGCAGAATGGTTATATAAAACTGTCCTAGGGTGGTGAGGTCAAATGATGTGAGAGCGCCTACTGTAGCTCTTGGAATACTGTAGTCAGTAGAGGTTCATCCAGGTTGGTCCTCCCCCCGCCCCCGGCCTTTCTCCTACCTTTCCTCTTTTTCTTCCTTTCACTCTTTCCCTTCTTTCTTCCTCTTATTCTACCTCTCTCATTCTCTTTACCTACTTTCATTTATTCTTTCTCCGAGGATTGAACCCAGGGGATCACACATTCTAGGTTAATGCTCTACCACTAAGCTATACGCTCGGCCCTAATGTTATTTCTTAGTCCTTTGCATTTCTTTCTCTTTTTTTTTGGTTTTTGAGACAGGGTCTCACTGTGTAGTGAGACTGACCTGGAACTCACTACGTAGCTCAGGCTGGTCTCGAACTCACAGCAATCCTCCTGCCTCAGCCTCTACTAGAGAGTGCTGGGATTACAGGAGTGTGCCACCATGCCCTGCATCCTTTGCATCTCTTCACAACAGTGGTTGAGAGAAAAGGAGATACCTAAGCTTGTGTTCTTCCTTACTGTGTGGTGGGAAAACAAGTGTCTTAGATTTCAAAGGAATTTTCCTAAGATTAGAGAACAGATTTTAGAAGCTGGGAGTTTTAACTTAATGTATTGGACAGTGCAGGCCATTTTTTGAATTGATTACTAAAAGGAAGCTTTCTCTTTGTAGAAGTTTTGAGATGAAAATACAGCCTACCTTTATTGGTGTCACCAGAAGTTACCAGGGATAGTGTCTAAGATACATTTTAAAAATTAAGCTTTTTGAGATCATTGTAGATTCACAGGCAGTTGTAAGAAATGTTGCAAAGAAATTCTGTGTGCCCTTTGTCCTGTTCCCTTCAGTGGTAACATTTTACAGAACTCTTGTCAAACATCACAGAAAATTGACATTCAAACCATCCTCTAGTCTTACTCCGATTTCATCCATTTCACATGTTGTCACTTGTGTGCACGTATTTCTTTAGTTTTATGCAGCTTTACTATCATTGCGTTATGGATCAACCATCATAGTCAGGCTACAAGATATTTTCTTCTCTACAGAGCTCTTTTATGTTGCCCTTTTATAGTCACACCTTTTCCCTCCCAGGCTTTCTTCCCCTATCCCTAACCCTTTGTGACCACTGATCTGTTCTCTGTACGGATAACTTTGTCATTTCAGGAAAGTTCTGTTAATGGGATCACACAGTATGTAACCTTTTGGGATTGCTGTGTTTCACATAGATAAGTTGTTGAGAATATCATTTCTTTTTATTCTGAGTAGTCTTCTATGATATGGATTATCACAGTGTAGCTAACTATCACCCTTGGAAGGATATCTGGATTTCCGGTGTGTGGTTCTTAACAAATAAAGCTGCTGTGATATTTGTATACAGGTGTTTATATGAACATGATTTTATTTCCAAGACTCTTACTGTGATTTCTTGTTTTCTTTTTTTCCCTCTTACCTTGTGTTCAGATATCCTCTTAGATTTGGATTCTCCTGCTTCTATCACAACACCAGCACCAGCTTCAGTTTCTGCAAGCAATGACTTGTGGGGAGACTTCAGTACTGCATCCAGGTAGTGGGCAGAAGGAAAGCAGAATACTATCACTCAGGGTATAGAAGATACACACAGTTGTATTAAACTTTGATCTGGGACAAGGGGATTTGAAGGTCACAATTGTTTTTTGAAATTCTTGGGAAGGAAATGTAGGGATGCTGGGATGCTGGGAGAAGAAAGCTGCAGGTTGAGGGTTGAGTGGGATATTCTGGGTCTTGATAAGTAGAATTTTTTGATGTATGGACTTAGAAATTCTGGACTGCAATTTCTTGAAAACTGTTTGTTAAGGAATGGAGTAGTTATCCTAATGTTATGTCTTTGGATTTCTCTCTGTTCTGTCTTGCAGCTCTGTTCCAAACCAGGCACCACAGCCATCCAACTGGGTCCAGTTTTGAGTAGCATTGGCAGGACATTAAGGACAGACTTGAAGAATAAAAATGACCTTGAGGGCACCAATCTCTGAGGGAGGTTAGGAACCCTTTTCCCTCCCCAGAACCAAAATTGATGGACAATCTTTTACATAGCATCTCCATTGTATTCAGGCTGATTTATGTCACTTCCCTATATTGTTACTTGCTGTACATTCAAGAGAGATCTGTTATTTCCTGCTCATTACCACAGCAGAATAGTGGATCTTACAATACCTATGGCTGACTGCAGGGTTCTGAAGGCCAATGACTTTGAGAGGGGAATGACTTCTAACATTTATAAAGATTTTCTCCATCTTCTAAATTCTTAAATGTATTTCAGAATCATCTCATGACCCTTGTGTGCCTCTTTGTGAAGCCCTCTTCACCAATTTCAGGGGAAAGAAAAGGCTTGAAACTTTTTGTTTTTTTAAACCCAATACTCTCAAAATGGATGGGCTGACCTCAGTATTTACAAAATTCAGAACTTTGACGCCTGGGCTACATAGTGACTTCAAGGCCAGCCTGAACTACATAGCAAGATCCTGTCTCAGAAAAAAAAAAAAAAAAAAAGAATATGGAGAGAGAGAATATGGATAGAGGCAGGTTTGGAGAAAGCTGTGTGTCCTGGGTCTCTTCTTTCCAGCCTCCTTCAGGCTTTCCCTTTTCAGCCAACAGTGAACACTCAGTGCTTGGTGTAGCTCCATTACCCTCTTGGGTGTTTACATGTCTCTTCCTGAGATGAGAGGGTTGTGTTGGCAGCACTGCCACTGTTCTTTGCTGTTTGTTGATTAATGCAGCATCGTTGAGCAGTGGGTGTTTTTAAGGTGGAGGAGGTTCAAGGGACTGTGCTTTCTAAATTATAGAAGAGTTGAATTTCTTGCAGCTCCACCTGGTTGCTGCATTGGAAGCACAGCATTCATTCGTAGCCAACCTTTTATTTAACTTAACATTGAAGAGTTTAGAGTTTTTAACCTGGTCAGTAGAGCACAGAGGTTGAAAGCACTTAACTCTCATTCATTACCCACATTGCCTTGCTGCTTGGGTATCTGACCCCCTTCCATAAACATTTCTTTCCCCATCTATCCGACTCTTCAGTAGAAAGCTGCTATTACATGTATTGTCAGTTATGAAGGAAGTTGGGGAGTCACAGTTTTATTTCTGTCAAGTTTTGTCCCAGGCTTTGATATCAACTAGCAAGAGTATCTTAAAAGCAAGTTGCTGCTCTTCCTTTTCCTCTGCCCCACCATTCCTTTCACAGTGCTGTGAAGAGTTCCCTGCCTTAGGGGTTATTATTAACTTACCTATCTATTTTGTTTGTTAATGGACAATTGTGAGGATTAATTAAGATATAATTTCTTCCTTTAGCACCTATGTGGATATGCATATTCTGATTGAAGGGGCAGGTCCTTATATTTAATTTCAAAAATACATTGTTTTTCCTGGATTTCCTTCTTAACTTTTTTTTTAAAGAATGGGTCCATTCTTTTCATTGCCTCCCTTTCCAGGCAGCTCTGTTCTTGGAAAGCCATGGCAGGACATTTTAAAATTTCACTAGAAAACACTAAAGGAAAGTCTGTAGACTTACTAGAGACTACTGGAACCTATTTTTCTCAGTCTTCCTCCATGTTGTGTTCTTTGTATTCTCAAGATGATAATATATTATGTATTTGAATTGCTGAAAAATTGAAAATGAAGTTAAAGATATATGTATATAAAGCAGATGCTGTAGTGGTGCAATAATGGTAATTAAAGTATAGAAAAAGGTGCTGTTTGTTTTATCTGTTGTCTACTAAATTTAAATGGCTCAATAAAATGGGCAATAAAAGGGTATTAAGACATACATATCTTTTACTCATTTTTGAGAAATAAGACTTTTAAGAAGGTGAGACTAACAAAAAAGGAAAAAAAATCCAAGAAGTTCAGACTAGACTTCTGCTCATGGTTCTAAGCCAACAGAGTGCCCCTTATAATAAATAAATATTCATTATTTGCTGTTACAGTTTATCTTCATGATTAAGACCACATCTTATATATAATCAGAAACGAAAGAGATTGAATTAAAGTGCGTGTCATAGACTTTAGAAATGAGAAGATCTTGGAGATATGATGATACAGAAGATGAATCAGAAAAATAATGTAACTTATTTTACAAGAAAGCTCTTCAAACTGCAACTGAAGTTGCTAATTAGTAACATGTAAACCTATGAAAATATAAAATAACTCACTTGTAAAAGTCATATTAGAATATTCTAATACTGTGTGGTGGTATACACATACACAGGTGTAGTAAAAGCTTAAAGGAAAAGAATATTAGAAATTAAATTTTGTATTCTAATAAACTAACTTAGTAGTTGATACACAGTATAAAAAGATAAGTTTATATAAAAAACAAGATGTGAGGGGAAAAATGCAGTTTTATATGTGACTGAAGTTAAGTTCTCAGCTTAAAATAGACTGTTACAAATGTAAGTTGTTTTATGTAAGCTTATGGTGACCACAAATTTGTAATACACACACACATACATGCACACACACAAAGAATCAAAGCCAACAAACTCAAATCTCAAAGACAGCAAGAGAAGAAAGGAATAAAGGATCCATAAAACAACTGGAAAACAACCAAATGATGGTAGTTAGATCACACCTATTAATAATTACTTTAGATGCAAGTGGATTAACTTCTGCAACCAAAAGAAAAAATGGATAAATGTATAAAAATAAGCACACCCACAAAAAGCTCCCCCCAGACCAGGACCTAACTATATGCTCACTACAAGAGACTCCTGACTTTTATAGATATATAGACTAAATGGCATGGAAAAACATACCCCATGCAAATGGAAACCAAAAGAAAGGGGTAGCTATGTTTATGTCAGACAAAATATACTATAAGTCAAAACAAATATGGTCATTAAGTGGCAGGTCAACTTACCAAGAGGATACAGCAATTGTAAATATACATGCCCTCAACATCAGAGTAACAAAATACATAAAGCACTTAATGTATTTCATGGGCTAAGTAGGCAGTAATATAGTAACAGAAGGGGATTTCAGTACGTCACTTTGAAAAGTGGATAGATTAGACAAAATCAAAAGGAAACACTGAACTTGAACTGCACTTTAAATGGAGTATATGTGTGTGTGTGTGTATGACATTCATCTAAGTGGGCAGAATACACATTCTCAAGTGGACAGGAACCATTCTTGAGGATAGGACATGTTAGGCCACAGAACAAGTCTTTTTTTTTTTTTTCCCACTGGGGCTTGAACTTGGGACCTTGTGCTTGTGAGGCAGACAGCAGCACCACTGAGCTAAATGCCCAGCCCAGGCCACAGAACAAGTCATAACAAATATAAGATGAAGTTTTATGAAGTATCTCAAACCAGTTCCTCCACATCTTCATCAATACTTGGGGGCTATAGATTTTTTTGTTTTTTTGGTACTGGGAATTGAACTCAGGATCTTGTGCTTGTGAGGTAGGCATGGTGCCACTGAACTAAATCCCTGGCCCTGAAGTATCTCTTCTTACTACTAAAATTATACACAGAACAACCAATGGGAATCTGTGGTGGTCCAGCCATCACAACACAAAACGTACCTGAGTTGGGGAGTGAGGATTGAGAAAGGACAGCACACAATACCGTGGAGACAAGAGGTCCGATTTATTTCACAGAAACAGCTCCTTTTAAAGGCACACCAACAGGAAGCACCAAGCAACTATTAGGGAGGAGATCAGATTTTTGGCTATCTGAGTTCCTCCCATCACAAGGTCAAATTTAACAAAGTCCTTGAGCCAGCATGGTGGTGCATACCCGTAATCCCATAAACCCAGCCTGGATTACACAGTGAGTTCCAGGTCAATCTCATCTGCATAGCTGAGACCCTTGTCTCAGAAAAGCCAAATAAACAAACAGAGTCATAGATTAAGAAGTTACTTTTCCAATGTCAAATGCCAGCGGGCTCCCACAGGAATCAAAAAGGAAATTAAGGGCTGGGAGTGTAGCTCAGTCTTATCACACTTGCCTAGATGGGTGGGGCCCTAAATTCAAGCCCTAACTGCAGGAAAAAATTACTTGACACCAAGATGGGAACAACTATCAATTTATGGGATGCAGCAAAAAGTTTGAAAGATAAAAATTATGTTGATTAATGCCTATGTTAAGAAAAAGAAGCTGGGCCAGGCATGGTGGTGCATGCCTGTAATCCCAGCACTTGGGAGGCTGAGGTAGGAGGATTGCTGTGAGTTCAAGACCAGCCTGAGCTACATAGTGAGTTCCAGGTCAGTCTCAACTATTAGTGAGTCCCTGTCTCAAAAAACAAAAACAAAAACAACAAGAAAAAAGAAGCTGGGTATGGTGGTGCATGCCTATTATCCCAGCACTTGGGAGGATCGCTTGGGCTCAGGAGTTGGATACCGGGGCAAGATACTGAGACCCTACCTTAAAGAACAAAAACACCAAAAAACAAAAAAACCCTCAAACAAAAGCCTCCTGAATACAGATCAAATTAAAGAAGAACTCAGTTCTACAATTAAGTAACAGTACAACATACCAGAATCTAAGAGACGCAATGAAAGTTCTCTGAGTGAAATTTATAGTGGTGAATACCCATATAAGGAAAATAGAGTGGATTTACATAAACAACATAATGTTGAACCTCGATCTACAAAAAGAAGAGCGAGTCAAGCCCAAAGCTCATTAAAGGGAGGAAATGATAAAGATCAGAGCAGAAGTTAATGCAGTGGAGAATAAAAAAAAAAAAAGAATCAATGAATCAAAGAGTTGGTTCTTTGAGAGATTAAATAAAATTGACAAGCCTCAGCCAAACAAAAAAAAAAAAACACCCCACAAAAAAAAAAAAAAAAAAAAAAAAAAAGTAAGACTCATATCCACGCAATTAGGAATTAAAAGGGTGAAATCACAGCACAACAACCTTGCAGAAATCCAGATAATAAGGGAACTTGTATTCTAGTAAATGGAAAATACAGAAGAAATGGACAAGTTCCTAGTACATATGAATTACCAAAACTGAATCAAGAAGATATAAAATTTTGAAATAAACCAATATCAGCCAGTGAAATTGAAGACATAATTAAAAACCTACCAACAAAGAGAAACCAAGGCTCTGATGGGTTCACTGCAGAATTCTACAAGAAATTTAGAGAAGACAATGCCACTACTTCTGAAACTCTTTTAATGAAGTTAAAAGGGAAGCAATACTCTCAAATTTATCCCTGGAAGCAATGATTCCAAAACCAGAGAAGGATCCCACCAAAAAGAACTACAGGCCAATCTCTTGAATATAGATGCAAAAATCCTTACTAAGATACTGGCAAACAATACAGCAAATCATCAAGAAGGTTATACACCATGACCAAATTGGATTCATCCCAGGGATGCAGGGATGGTTCAACATATGCAAATCAATAAATGTAATACACTTAACAGTGTCAAGGACAAAAAAACCCCATATGATCCTCTTAGTGGATGCAGAAAAAGCCATTTGACAAGGTCCAACATTCATGATAAAAAAACAACAGAAAATTGATATAGATTATCTCAACTGATAAAAGCCATCTATGACTAACAGCCAACATCATACTAAATAGACAAAAACTGAAAGCTTTTACTCTAAAATCAGGAACAAGACAAAGATGTCCACATCACCACTTTAGTTCGATATTGTTCTGGAAATGCTAGCCAGAGCAATTAGATGAGAAGTAAAAGAAATAAAGATAAGAAAGGAAGAAGTTGAATTATTATTTTCAGAGGACATGATACTCTACATAGAAGACCCCAAAAACTCCATCAAAAGACTTCTAGGTTTGATAGCCAAATTCAATGGTATAGCTGGATACAAAGTCAACACTCAAAAATCAATAGCCTTCCTGTACATGAATAACAAACTCACTGGGAGAGAAATTAGAGAACCCCTTTCAAAATAGCATCACCCCCCCCAAAAGGAAAGAAA